CTTTCCTTGTCTCCGTGTTTTTCATGTTGATACCATTCTTGTGTCATGTTCAATCAGAATTGAAATAATTGCCAAGGAGAGCAAAAAGGTAAACTAATCCTACCCTCCATCAAACTAAGACATTCAAAATCAATGGATGCTTTCCTGTCAGAAGATGACTAGCGTCTTCATCATCATGGTGGCATCAGACCTCTACTGTCGTTTTCTATAATGCTATTTGGTTTGGTGTGACATACATTCTGGCATTGGTAAATACAAATGGTACCATTGTTGTGTTACATGCTGACTTTCAGGTTGAGAGCTGTGTGTCTTCTTTAGATTCTACTCCAGCGTCGCCTTTGAACCTGCTCCTGCATCTTTCACGACCCAAAAAGTGTTGATAGCTGGCTGGAATATTTATATCGATCATTCCATATGCTTATCCGACTCACAAATGCTTCTCTTTGCCCTTCCTTGTTCTGAAACAGCCACACACCACTTCGCAGAGAGACTGAGTCACCGGCCATTCCATTGTAACAATGGAGACAGTTACTGACATTTTTACCCGCTTTTTGAAGCCTTTTAAAATGTCATAACTTCCTTAATTCTTAACATATTGACAAAATATAAACACTGTTTTGTTCCTTTATTATTCATTGATCCCAGCTCTTCCCAGTCACATTGGTCCTGCTGGGAAAAAAATAAAATGATTTTAATTTTACCCTTAGAGAAGACAAGTTAAAGTGGGACTTGAAGCACATGGTGTTGCCTTGTGTAGGAAATGTGCTCTATCAATAAAACTGCCTTGTCTTGATTGATGTACTTGACTGACAAATGTCTTCTCTCTATAAGCGGTACTGTGAGTCAGTCAAGCAGAGACTGTTTTGTGGCGTTGACCAACGGCAGTCAACTCTCAATCTCGGGGTGTGAATCACATACTTAATGAGAAAAAGGAACATGAACCACAAACAACAATTAGCTTCAGGATGCTTGTAAAATACATTTGTGTAGTTTGTACTCATCAAGCAGGAATGCAGAGAAAGCCTGTGTAAAAAGTGTCATGGCACACACATACAAAGTATAGCCTTCATTAAAAAGTTATGGTCTTTTGCCAGTTTTGTTTTTTTCGGGTTTGCCACATCAGGGGTGTGTTACAAGCGGTTTTTATGCCAGATGCCCTTCCTGATGTAACAGCAGTCTTATTAAGGGTTTTCCCACCTATCAAGGAAGCGACTATTATTTCAGCAATTTCACAAAGTCTGTGTTGTGATTCTTATCGTCTCAACGTTCGGTTTAAGTAAACAAAGCTGCTCGAAGGACTGGAGTGTGTAAGGCTCAGATTTCGTCAAAGTCATTTTGAGAACGATTGAAAATAAAGTTTGGAGCAGGTTAGGTATTTTTGGAATTTATGGCCTGCATATCCAACTGTGGCGGTCCCTTCCACACAACAGCTCATTTCTCGGATCAGTGTTAGAAGAGCACAGTTCAATTTGGATTTTTTTTTTGTAAGGTGGTTGTAACTGTGATTTACCTGTTTTGGGAGTCCCTCATAAGAATACTGTCAAAAATGATACATCCCCGTTGTTTCTGAATTTAAAAAAAAAAAATCTTCTGCCTGTATGACACCGTCCACGGCCATTTATGACTCCCAGACCCGTCCATTTGTTCTAATCTGGAAAAATAAATCAACCAGTGGCAAGCTCACCTTCCAGTCCATTTGTCTGTCGAGCGAGTTGGCCACAGTCCGTTTGTATACGGCACTGTGCGCAATCAGTAGCTCCATTTCTCGGATCAGCGTTAGAAAAGCACAGTTCAATTTGGATTTTTTTTTGTAAAGTGGTTGTAACTGTAATTTACCTGTTTTGGGAGTCACTCATAAGAATACTGTCAAAAATCACGATACATTCCATCGTGGGGGGTGCTAGAGCCCATCCCAGCTGTCTTTGGGCAGTAGGCGGGGGACACCCTGAACCGGTTGCCAGCCAATCGCAGGGCAGGGCACAACCATCCACACTCACACTCACACCTAGGGACAATTTAGAGTCTTCAACCGGCCTGTCATGCATGTTTTTGGAATGTGGGAGGAAACCGGGGTACCCGGAGAAAACCCACGCAGGGTTGGGGAGAACATGCAAACTCCACACAGAGAGGAATTGAACCACGACCTCTGCACTGTGAGGTCGACAAGAGGAACTGAACCACGACCTCTGCACTGTGAGGTCGACACGCTGACCACTTGACCACCGGGCCGCCCTAGGCTCGAATAGTGTTCCACAAATGAAAGACCATTTAGCATTCAAGACACACCATTTTGTTATCAAGGCATTCATATTGAAAGCTCACCTTCCAGTACATTTGTCTGTCGAGCGAGTTGGCCAGACTCCGTTTGTATACGGCACTGTGCGCAATCAGTAGCTGAATGAGGAGTCAGTGTGAAGCGCTTTGAGTGCCTAGTAGGCTCGAATATCCATCCATCCATCCATCCATCCATCCATTTTCTGATCCACTTAATCCTCACAAGGATCGTGGGGGGTGCTAGAGCCCATCCCAGCTGTCTTTGGGCAGTAGGCGGGGGACACCCTGAACCGGTTGCCAGCCAATCGCAGGGCAGGGCACAACCATCCACACTCACACTCACACCTAGGGACAATTTAGAGTCTTCAACCGGCCTGTCATGCATGTTTTTGGAATGTGGGAGGAAACCGGGGTACCCGGGGAAAACCCACGCAGGCTTGGGGAGAACATGCAAACTCCACACAGAGAGGAACTGAACCACGACCTCTGCACTGTGAGGTCGACACGCTAACCACTTGACCACCGGGCCGTCCTAGGCTCGAATAGTGTTCCACAAATGAAAGACCATTTAGCATTCAAGACACACCATTTTGTTATCAAGGCATTCATATTGTTCCTGTAAGAAAATCCCAATGTTTCTTGGTGTTCAGACAGCATGATACATGAAAAATCTGCAATGTCATCTGTGAGAGTTAAACAACATGACCTCTTACTTGTAACAGTTTAGGAGTATGATGTTGGCCTTTCAAAAGAATATTGTTGGCTTTGGTTTCTCTTTACAACACGTCTCTCCAACCGGCCAGCTATTGTCAGCGACACTAAAAGCTTGGACCATAAAAGAGCTGTTGAACCAAAATACACACATTTTGAAATCCATAAATTCCTCAGCAGAAACTATATCCTGAAGTCTTCAAAGTTTTGAACAAATATTACTTAATGCCAAAAGAAACGTTGATCTTGCTTTATTAGTGATATCACAAGCAGGAAGCCTGACTTGTTTTCTAGCTATTGTCTGTGCAAGACATGAAATAAGTTTCAGGATTGCGCAAAAGAAACAAACAGGACTATCGGTCATTCATCAAAAAGTGATGAATGACTGACTCCATCACTGCGACAAGCCTGTATCTTTAATTTAAGTCGTTCGATGACTGCAAGCAAAAGTTGCACTGGTATTTCCCATCCAATCTGCATGTATTTGGTTGAGTTGTTTTATTTTACATGTGCCTTCAAATACAAATAACGCTAACAAATGCCAACCATAGCAAAGGCTCTGAAACAATGAGCTCCACTTCAAAACGTTGTTTCGAAGTCATGACTTTCAAAGCCAGTCCCAAAGGAAGCACTTGACTATGATGAATTTGTTTTCTTTGTGATTAATACTCTTTTGATATTGTCAAATTCTTGTTGTACCTCAGAGACAACTGCAGATGGATGCATCTTCTAATGTCACATAAATAGAGTAAAAGTCATCTCAGGAGAAAAACAATCGAGAATCACTTTCTTCCTGCGCTCTGTGCCAAAAACATTTTGTGCTAACCACAATATCGTCCCTAACTTCCCCTCTCTTTGCCCTCCCAGTGTCTCCTTCTGTAATTAGGCCTCTTTTCCTTTTTTTCAGATCAACTCCCTTTTTATCTCTTTCCCTGTTTTCCTTCTTCTATCCCACCGACTCCTCTAATCACGGCATGGTCACATACTGAGAAACCAGAATTTGTTGGTGCATAATTTTCATCGATGTTGTCTTGCTGGTTGGTCAAACACACATTGGTATTGGTTTAAGGCTCAAAAAAGCTTTTTGATCTGATGATATTCAGTGTGATGTAAAAAAAAACAAAAAAAAAAAACAGAAGACCAAGTCATCTTTGGGTCTGTTTCAATATCAGTGTGGGAGATGGCAAACACACAGCTAAAAAATATGGAACCAATTTCCACTATGTGAAGGGGTGTGACAAGGGCCAAAGAACAGATTGAATTTTACAGCAGATCCTTGACTTTTTTTTTTTTCTTATTGCTATCATTCAGAAACTCCAAGGACGACTGCAGACATACTTCTTCTTCCCCTTGTTTTGGGGCTATTGTTAACCACTCTTAAATGTGCATCAACTCCAGAGACAGGACAAGCTTGCCCACAACTTACAATTGACAGCCATCCATTATCATTCTTCTCCTCGTGGTCGTGGGTGAACTTTGGGTGAGAGGCGAGGTATACGCTCGATGGCTGGCCTGTCAATTGCAGCATTTTGTTTCCGTTATGCATAATTACAAAATGCACATTCTTCTGCATCGTGTTGTTTCTGCTCTTTCTTCATACATGCTTTTCTAAATTCAACCCTAAGAAAAGAATCTTCATGCTTCATTTATGTGAGGACACCACATTGGTGACCCCTGTTGTCATATATTAAATTCATATAACTAACCAATGTTTTAAGTACACAGGAGCTTGTAATGCTGCTGTATAAGCTTCATGTTAATTACAAAGTAGTACTGTGACTTAAGACACAGAGGAATACCAGACTCTGGTTAGTGTTGTTTGATAATATGACAAGGGGCTGATAAGCCCATGTAAACAAGAGTGTGTGTGTGTGTGTGTGTGTGTGTGTGTGTGTGTGTGTGTGTGTGTGTGTTGTGTGTGTGTGTGTGAGAGAGAGAGAGAGAGAGAGAGAGAGAGAGAGAGAGAGAGAGAGAGAGAGAGAGAAAGCATTTCTGGCTTAAAAGATATCTGCTCATTAGTGCTGCACTGACCGACTGATCTTTCCTTACGTTCGCTCAGTCGGCACATTAGCACAGAGGAGGTGTCATTCACATACACTTCTCACTTTCCTTTGGTACATAATGGCAAGTCACACAATTGGGTTATTCTTATTTTGTGTTTCGGTGGCGTTCTCCTATGTTTCCACGTCTCCCCAAGTCTGCAGCAACTCCCTCATACCTGGAGCTAAAGGTAAACACGACCACATATGCAGTATGCTGTTAATGTTTGGGGTTTTTTTTTGGTGCGACAAAAGTAGTACAGTATACGGTGTGATTGTGTTAGGTTATTATAACTCCCACTTTAAACAGGGAGTCAGCAATGCAAATACTTTTCCATTCCAGGCTGTTGGCTGTTTAACAAGTTGATACGTAATTTGGTTGTCTTGTTAAGTATATGGTCAAATGAAAGACGGAATGGAAAATTCTAAGGAAACACCAAGAATAATGCCGCAGGGCTTTATAGAGTTGTTGGTAAAGGTACCCAGCATGCAATGTCCTGTCGTTTAACAACGAGCTGATTGCTACCCCACAGATTTTTGGGAGGGAATGCCTTCCATTTTACAACATCCAGTAGCTTCTTCCCCTGCTGATTCAGACAGAGCCAATAAAACACACACCAGGCAAAGTTAAGCAGCATTTTTTTCCCCTCAACCTTTGTGCCAACAGGACACTAACGTAATGTGAGATGACGTGGAGGGAGTGAGTGAGGAAGTTAAGACCTGTTTGTGTGTGTGGTGCCACTGAGAAAGTCCCACTGAAATGTGTGTGTATTTAGACAGCTACCACGACACTGGACCGATTATTTGGACAAGACTTTTAGATACAAATGACTGCAGAATCCATCACTTGACAATGACCTTGCCCATGTTTGTGTATTCTAAGGGCGGTCTGATGTGTGGTTGAGGTTTCGTGAAGCACACTGCAGTCACGCTTGGTCACTTTTCTCTCTCATTGCTTCTTTTTCAGGCTTCAAAAGTCGTACCTTTACGTGGACGCCTCAGCATCCTGTTTTTAAATGGCGACACGATGTGCGCAACGGACCACTTCTGATTGTTAGGGATCAAATCAAATGACACACAATTCTAAACGGGCTTACTGCAAACTTGATCGGTATTCATTTTACAGTATTGCTGATAGGTTATTGTTATAGCTACACAAAGTATGTGGAGAAGAATGCCTCCGCTCCTTCGGATGCAGCACAGCTCCAGTCCATTGCAAACTGAAGAAGTGGCCATTGGGAATCTGGTTCGCAATGGCGTCAAACTCATTTCTGTCGCGGACCACATTCTAGTTACCGTTTCGCTTGGAGGGCTGGAGTTACCGAAACTATATATAGAAGTCAGGAAAAATGGTTTATTCAACTATTGTATAAGTTACGTAATGAGTAGTTTGGTGACAAGAAAATGCTTACATTATCTCTCTTATTTATTACAAATGAGAAGTTGAAATTTTGCTACAGATTTTAGAAAGAATCACGGAAGGAGACATGTTTGATTTGATTTCACGGGACACATAAAATGTTGTGGTGGGCCAGACCTGGCCCCCGGGCCATGAGTTTGACACCTTAGGTCTTAAGGTATCTCTCTTACATGTTCAATTCGCTAAAAGTATTTAATATATTCTTGGAAAGCAACTAACAACTTCTTAAGGTATCTCTCTTACATGTTCAATTCGTATTTAATATATTCTTGGAAAGCAACTAACAACTTTGGGGGTCCAAAACATCCTCATTCATGTAATCAGGCAACACATTAGCATTTGGTGGGGTTTGTTTGTTTCTTCGTTTTTATTTTGTGAACTACCAATGCAACTTGACATAGGAAAGACCGAGAACACTTCTGCTTAGATAAATATTAATCATGCTAACCTAAAAGGGCTACACTGTTTACACTTTACACTAATCTTATCCATTCCGGCAATACCTTTATTGTATACGTATGTCCCAAGAATCTGAAATTAGAACAACTCAAGTCGAGTTGAAAGTGTGGTCACCTCTGGAGTTTGCGTTCTCGCTTCGCTGATGGTAAAGTAGAGTCTATCAGTAGAAAATAGCCACACCAATTACCATCTAATTATATTGCATGAAGTAATTTTTCTGTGTATGATTCATTTCGGTGAGAAGAAAACAATTCTGAGCCAGTGAAGGCTTTCAGAAGTACTGTGAGAGTCTTAATATGGCCCAGTTCAAAGATGTTTGTTGCTTTCCTGCCTTTGCCCAGCACCTAATTTACAAAGTGTCCTTGGCAGCAACATCAGACATCCCATGTTGCCAAAACCTCTCTCGTGCACCTCATTTTTCTTTTTAACTCACAATAATGATGTCATAATTAATAGTCCAAAGGAACAGTCCAAACAAACAAAAAAGGCCCTGGCCTTTTTTGTTTGTTTGGTTTGTAGCATGTAGAGTCAAAAAAAACATCCAGAAAGGATTAACCTTGCATTTGAATTCACACACAACCACATCCCTCAATTTTGAATTTCAGATGAGTTTTCAATCACGTACCATAGTGATGGCAACATTTTGATAGAAAGTATGATATTATAATCCAAACAGTTTTTGAGACATCTCTTGTGGTTAATTTCCCCTCTTCCTATCTATGCAGGAGACCAAGGTGAGATTGGATACGAAGGAGATGAGGGCAGAATGGGGAAGAACGGACCACCAGGACATCCAGGTAGCACAAACTAGTTTATTTTTTTGCTTCAAATGACTCATCTTGATGCCAAAATGACAATTGCGTGATTTTAGATCAACAATAGGACATTGCATGTTAATAAAAATCTGTTTAATGCTGCCCGACTCTTGGATCCTATTGGACTTTGCAAGTGCACTGAATATGGACAGCGTGGTAAGAGCCCAATGGAGACACACAAGCACACACGCATGCGCGCGCACACACACACACACACACACACACACACACACACACACACACACACACACACACACGCGATGACTGTCAGCTCGTTACTCTCCAGAAATCTTTATTGAGTAAACTCGTAAATGTAAGTACTAAATGTAGACATTATTCAGCTTGGAGTGACTTCAGTGCCGTGTAGCCATGCGCCATTGCGGTTTTTGTGTACACTGACTGTAGCACCATCACAACCTCCAACATTTTAGCTGCAGTATGTCAAGAGCTCCACAGATGACGCATAAATTCCCCTTTTTAATTTAGGAGATTTTACAGGAAAACGTGGCTTAATTTTGGAATGTTAAGAGGGACTTAAGGACAGCTAATGCCCTGGAAACAAAAACAATGCGTTGCTCTTGGTTTATTAACGTCAACAAACAGTGGTGCTGCTTTTAAGTGAAAGTAAGTCTCATTTGAGCTGTGAATTTGCGATTGTGGGGTTTGATTGGCGTGATGTGGAACCCAGAAGCGAAGCACATGTTGACAAATGAAAAATTTGGCTCAGCACAGGAGTTTGATGCAAGCCAATTCGTAACTGGTCAAGCAATCTGGAAGAAAGGTTTCACCTCAGGATTTTAATCAGAGCTTGAAAAGTCCCTTCTGTGATCCTGTTTAACCAGCTCTCGGTGGTTTCAAATGTGTCTTCATCATGACAACCGAGGCCTTGCACCTCTTTATCCTCCGGCAGCTGCACGGGGAATCCAGACGTTAAGCCAGTTGGAGGGTTTGGCCATTATAAAAAGCAACAGCAGCGATAGGAACGAGTGTTATCTGAAAGATGGATGAACGGTTTAACGGGCTCGTGTAAGCACACGGCCAACGTCATTCATCAACGCAGGGAACAACAAAGCAACGCATCTTATTTCTATAAACAGTCAAGAATAAGTGTAAACGCTCCACAGTCTGCTCTCGGTTCTTTATTGTAATGTGCTTTTAAAATATACTGTATTTATAATATGCTTTGTACATATACTGTATATTATGTACACACATAGTATTCCACATATTGATGGACATTTTGTACTGTATTTTCATTCGACTGCAGAAACTTCAACAACACTTCTTAGACTTCATCAAGAAGCAAATAAACTTGTGAAGATACTCTGTGTGTGCCACTTCGCTCTCACAGCAACAGCTCTCTCCAGTGTGTCACTTTCTATTTCAAATATCATTCATTTCCAGTGGAATAGTTTCCTGAGGAAATAATCACAGCTGAAGGCCATGGTTTGGCAGTGCTTGCATAGGCACACACTTAATATGAAGTAGACTGAATCTGTGTGGGGTTTTTTTTAGAAAAAAAAGAGGTGTCCCTGTCAGAAGATAATCAAGTTTGACTTAAATAGTTTTTTTGTGTGTATATTGACATTGATAATTACAGAATCCATTACATTACTTACAGCCATTTTCTGCATACTCGATTTAAACCAAACCAAACAATTAAAAAAAAGCGAAGTAATGAAAATCCACCAAAATACAAATGGTAATTTGAAAAGCAGGCAGAAGTGATAGGGCAAAGAACAGTCAGAGCTCAGCGCACTTTGGAACAGCACCAAATTGTGCGCCTTCAGGACACCGACATGTGAAATTCAACTTTGAAAAAAAATTAAGCCCAATAATTAAATGACTGCAAAAGCATGCCAACAAGTGAATCATTCTTCTTTGGTCCATGTCCGAACGTTTTGTGGAAACCTATTTATCACAGTTTTTTTTCTTTATTATGTTTACACTCTTAGGAGCTTGCATCTCTCCAAAAAACAAAACAAAACAAAACAAAACAAAACAAAACAACAAAACAAAAAAAAAAAACATTCAAGGAAGGTTCTTTTAAAGTGAAACGCTGTGATTCTTTTCAATTTAGTGGGATTCTGACAGATCTCCAAATATTTAAGGGCAAGGATTTGATTTGGTTCGATTCAATGCACGCATATCTTTTTGAATCAAAACCATTTTTTTTTGTTACAACCCTATCACACATGCAATCAAAATTTTGACTCATCTAATAATGAGAGGTAGGGACAATTCAAGGATTATTCTACATTGAAGTGTGGTGATGTTTTTCGGGTTTTTTTTTCCAGAAACATATCAAAAGAGACATCATACTGTCTGTATGCTGTGTCCCATCTTTTCTTTGCATGATGTGTTAAAGTCATGAAAGGATGTCAAAAACGCCTCCACTCTTCTTCTTTCTTCTTCTGTATTTCCAGGAGCATTAGGAGAGGTGGGATCGAAGGGCGACGTTGGTCACATAGGAAAGATGGGGCCCATTGGAGCCCAAGGTACGAGATAGGGAAAGTCTTTACAATCTTGCACAGTAACACAGTACCCATGTATTGCATAACAATAACTCTATTCTATTTTAATTCTGACATGTATGTTAAGGTCACGGAAGAGAATACATTTTCCAATAGGTGTGTTGATGTCCACCATGGTTGATTAGTAACCAGTCCATGGTGTACTACTTCACTCACCCAAAGTCATCCGGGAGAGGCTCCAGCTCACTGTGATCCTGACCAATATAAGTAGTATAGAATATAAACGGATGGATAGTTTTCAGTGGTTTAATACTACAGGATGCTCAAAAAAATAAATAAATAAAAAAAACGTGAATGCACCTCATGTTGTGGCCACTGGGTGTAGTTTCCAAAGCACAAGAGAAAAATACCCAATGCATTAATACACAGGTGTCAAACTCAAGGCCCGGAGGACAGATCTGGCGCTCCACATCATTTAATGTGGCCCGTGAAAGCAAATTAAACATGTCAACTTCCATGATGCTTGCTAAAATCTCGACCAAAATGTAAAATTCTCATATATAAGAAATAAGAGACATATTGTAAGCATTTTCACCAAACCCCTCATTACAGTAACTTAAACAATTGTTGAATAAACCATTATTATTGACTGTTTTTGTTTGGTTTCAGTCATAATGGCCCTGCAAAGGAAACGGTAACTAAAATGTGGCCCACGACAAAAACATGTTTGACACCCATGCATTAATGTTTTGAATCCTGTTACCCTTTAAGCTATTTCTGAGGTTATCATAAATGATAACCTGATAAATGATGTCGTGCTGTTGTGTTTCCCCCTGTGTGGCTGAAATTTTGTTTTAACGAGTGCTACTCGGTGTCCTGCGCTTGTGAGCAACCACTTTTCTTCATGATCATTAGGTTAAATACGCTTACAGGAAAAGCGGTTTTGTAACATGACATGGAAACGTTTAGTGAGGTCACAACTCATTAAACACTTGGAACAAAAATAATTCATTTTCAGGAGCATTGTTGTGGTAAACACCAACCAACTGTGATTTTCAGTGTATCACAGTGAAGTTCCCATATACAGTGGAAGCTCCAAAGCAGGATTCAAACCATCAACGTATGTGACATCATGTATGTTATCAGCTAACCTGTGAAACTTCAGCTCAGTAAGCATCTAGAGCAGGGATGGACAAACTTTTGTGCTCAAGGACCATGTTTTTAATTGGTAGATGAGATTAGGAAAGATGTTTAAATTAGTTCTATAAATCTATAAATGAAATATGTAAATTTGCAAAATAATGTGAATAAAACATACAATTTGATAAATTAACCAAAATATTTCATCAATCAATAAAATATGTTAAATGGCAATGCAAAAAAAGTTTTTGCTTGTGTTTACCAAATTTTATTAACCAATATACCTGTGTGTGTGTGTGTGTGTGTGTGTGTGTGTGTGTGTATATATATATAATGCATGGATTCAACACTATATGAGATCATATAAATACTGACGACTTCGTTCTCGTGAGATCCTGAAATTCTACACGTTTGGGTGATATTACCATCTGCTGGTGATATTGTATTAGTACAACAGAAAAATCTGACAAATCAATTTTTGTGGTGAATGAGCAGACATCACACTGTACTGTATTTGAGGGGTCACATAACTGTCCAAAATAATCATAAATTGACTGTCAGATAAAATGGAATTGATTTCAATTCATGATTCAAAATACAATGCAATTGGCTGGTAACCAATTCAGGGGGTACGCGCCTGCTGCCCGGAGACAGCCGGGCTCGGCTCCAGCGCGCCCGCGACCCTTGTGAGAACAAGGGGATTTGAAAATGGATGCATGGATGGATTTAAAATATATATGAATCGGATATATATGTTCTATAAGTATAGAGTTTTTGTATAAGTATATAGTTTGTCACACCTAAATGCCTCAGGTCATCAAACAAACCCAAATATTAGTCAGACAGCACACGACAAATTATCTCTTTACCCTCAATTTGTTTTAGCTCACGCCTTGTGCTCGTCTTACACTGAGCATGAATATAAAGCCCTGTGTGTCTGATATTCTTCTGTAGGAGACAAAGGAAACGCAGGCTTGGATGGACCCTTGGGTTTGAAGGGGAAAACAGGTAGGGCTCTGTATCCTCACAAGCGTATGAAGCTATTTACAGGAAGTCATGCAGTTGTGTTGCAATTGCTCTGCCACCAGGGCTGGACAAGTACAAAGAAAATAAAACAAACAAACAAGAAAAAAACATGAAGGTTTGCATTCTACCTGAGAAGTCATTGCCATACCATTCGACAGTCAGGGTTCCATAAAATAAAAGGAATACATCCCTTGCTCAACACACTCATAAGACAAGCAGTATCAAGACTAAGTAAAAAGCAACATTTTGCTGTGATAAATTTACGACGTAATGCCATTTTATTTGTTGTTACTTTACTTTTAGCCAACTTCTAGCTCATGCATTTACTAGCAAACAGCAAATCAGAACCGACACCGTACTGCAATTAACGGCCCATTTATTGAAATCCTATCCAAAAGAAAAAGCACACTGACACAAAAACCTCTTAATTCGTGACAATTCTAAGTGCCGGATTTTACTTGTTCCCGCTTGTATTATGAATGTGTTGAACAGGTTTCTGGATATGTGTGCATTTCATTTCATAGAACCATGACAGTTGATGGTATGATAAACAATGAGTTCTCAACTACTTAGTTTGCTTATGTGAAAATAGCAGGTAAAATTAAATGCGATTGAAAGAATCAAGTGTTGTGTTGTGAAGAAGGATTGTGACAAAATTTATGTTCGGGCGCCACTCCTGATGACTTCTGTTGTGGGAGAAAGAGCAAATGCTCAATGTAGGCCCAGATTGACGAGGACATTGAGCAAGCCCTGTGACATAACTTATATGAGACATGCTTAGCTTAAGAGTGGCTGTTGTTGACTGAATGGTGGCTGCCGTCTGTTGCTAGTGTGAATGCTATCCCGGTGAATTAGATCACCACCACCACCTAGCTTTGTCACTGATGTAGATTTGTTCAATTTACTGTCCATGTTGTAATTGGTTTAGTGGGTTTCTCCCTCTAAATTGTGGGCTGGTCTCTTGGGGTAAAATGGAGGAAAAGAATTCAATAAAAGGGCACCAGTCAAGCTGACATCTGCCCTGTATGCCAAATGGCTGGTCCAGCACTGACTGTCACCAATTATAGTGGTCGTTTCAATTGGGTTCTTGCAGAATCTTCGGTAATAGGAGATGATTCTGCTCATATAAAACATCTCGTGTTTAATCACTTAGGCACTACTTGTGACTGTGGAAGGTACAGGAAGGTGATTGGGCAGATGGATGTCAATTTGGGCAAGCTGAGGAACACAGTGAAGTTTGTCAAGAAGAGTGAGTTTGTCAAACTCTGATCTTTCACCATTGTTACTTATGACTATCATTCAAGAAGTGACAATTTTGCCGTTCAACCAACATTTGTAAATGGACTAATCTCTCTTTTCTAGTCATGTTGGGCCTGACAGAAAGTGACGAGCACTACTACCTGCTGGTGAAGGAGGCCAAAAGATTCAAGGAGGCCTCGATGAACTGCGAGCTGAGAGGCGGCATCCTGGCCATGCCGACTAATATTGATAGTAACCGCCTCATAGCTGATTATGTCAGTCAGTCTGGACTCACGAGGGTTTACATCGGAGTGCAGGCTAAAAACACAGACACGCTTACAGTATGTGCATACTTAACTTACCGTCACCGTTTTGAAACAAAGCCCTACCAACACAATATTTTCTGAAATCTACCAGCAACAATTGTTTAGGTTTCAATAAATCACCGAGTGCTCAAAATAGGCATGTTATGCCTCACCATACAGGCTAATATAATGCATTGGAAAAAGACCAATTCCCTGTGAAAATTTGTTCACCAGGGGTGTTCCAGTTCCCTGTGTGTGAAGCCACTCATCACTGTGTTTTTCCTATTTATTCTTCAGCATGAGGGAAGAAACAGCTCCCGGGACGCAGATTCCAAACCACTCAAGGACTTTCCTGCATGGAGTCAAGATGAGGAGCTCACTTCTTCCAGCCACAATGCGAGTTGTGTGGAGCTGCTCAGCACAGGGACATGGAGTCATGTGGAGTGTGACATGGCCATGTTTTTCATCTGTGAGTTTCCAAAAAGCAGGATAAGAGGATGAGGAGGAGGAAGAAGTGCGACCTACTCTGCATCTTGAGTCATTGAACAGACCTTTCTTGCAAGTACAGTTCAGTAAATGATACATTACACTTAAAACGTGTCAGTTTTTTTGTGGCATTTCAGAACATGTTAGATTTAACTTGGTTTTACGATGCAAGTTGGTGCACAATGGGAATATCCAGTCTGTATTTTCTTCTTTTTACAGACAATTCAAAGACTTTTGACCTTGTGGACAATTCATGTACTTCATACTGTAGCTGGTCGATCTTGTTGTGGAAGTACGTCTCCGAATAGCAAGAAAATGACCACAGCTTTAGCCAATTTGAATGTGTGTGTCTTGGCTTAAAGAATGACAAAAATGCTCAAGTTCTCTGGTGTGGAGTTTGCATGCTCTCGTGATACTTGCATAGGTTTTGTCTGGTGGTTATCCAACTTCCTCACACTTTCCAAAAACACAGAAATTGACTGGCAACCAGTCCAAGGGTGTATCCCGCCTTTTGTCCAAAGACCACTCATCAGCTCCAGGTTACATTCTCAATCCTAAGGAGGACACGCATTGTAGAAAATGGATGGATGATTAAATTACATTCATGTCTGACTCTCTTACAAGTGGCATCTGACAAGGTGGAACATCTCTCTGTGACTTCCCAAGGTCATGTATCGTATGTTGCTGTATGTGAATTCAAGACTAAAGTGCCCATAGGTGTTAATGGGCCTCATTCACTAAAAGAGTGAAATTAATGTTTGCACTCTGCACACAATTTAAGGGAATGTGCAAAATCACTGTCGGATCCATGACATGTGCATACTGGCCCATTTTCTTTGCACCACTGTGCACATGTTGATGAATTGGAATTCATGCTAGATGACAGCGCGTGCCCACGGAGCTCATTTTTCCCCACGCCCATTTTTCCCTCAAAACTTTGACAAAGTGTGGAGGTTGTGAAACATTAAAAAAAATGTAAGAAATTGCTCCAAAATGTTTCAATACATTCTCGATCTTTATCCTATTTTCAAATGGTTCATATCATTGGAAAGTTTTATGACCACAGAAGCTGGCAATATATTGTGAAGCCTTGGAGTTAAAGTAGTTAAATGATATTTGCTGAGGCGCCTCATTTGCTTTATTCCTTCGGCGGTAACAGGATGAACATTCATTCTCACAACAAACCAAATAAATATCAACCACTCGAACCAAACGTTTGTTTACAAAGCACTTTAAACTAACCATTGCTGCATACACAGTACTGTACATGGAGTAAAAATAAGTCATGCAATAATAAAGACAGTGGAAGCAATAAATTAAAAGCACAAATGTAAAGCATTAATGTTAAGTTTTGACTGCTAAATGGTAAATGCGCTTGTACAGAGCTTTTCGACCCAGGTACTCAAAGAGCTTTAACACTGTCTCCCCATTTTACCAACTGATATGATGCAGCATTAGGAGCAACTGCCGGGGTCAGTATCTTGCTCAAGGTGCCTTTGACATGGTCACAGTTGTTGAGGATCAAACCCACAGCAATTTGAGAGACGACCACTCGACCACCTGCAGCCCCACAATGTCACTGACCTTGACATGTTCAAATCTCTATCCAAAACACTTTATTTTGACGGTGAGGTGTTAAAAAGTCGAGTAAGGACTGCAAGGACATGCATATTAACAATGATGCCCATTCAGAGTTTGGTGACTTCCTTTTATTGCAATGAGGAAATATGAAGTTGACTGTCCTATAATCTTAAAGATTTGGACCATCTTTTACTGATGATGAAAGACACAACCCAAAACGCCCAAAGTTTTACAAGTTACTCTCGATATAAGCACACAGAGAGGATGACAGATGACAGTTCATACTAGGATTTGTGCTCCATGTGCTCTGTAGACTTATGACAGGTCATAACTTTTTTCCCGGACGGTTCCTTTAAAATCATCGAAAGGCGTGGCTATTCATTTTTTTTTTCCTGATTCAGCAGATGCCAGAGCCTAAGCAAGGACTTTTTGTTGCAACACTTGGTGTTGGTGACAACCAAGAGGGTGTCAATACAAATCGGACACATGTCAGTGACATTTAACAGCAAATCGGGGATGATTACAGGAGATGGTTGGGAATTAATGGATTCTAAATCAGAATATGGCGGGGGATTTCGAAAATCAGGTAAAAATCATTTGGATTTATTCATCTTAAAAATGAGCAAATGCTACCAAATGAATGCTGCTTCTCTGTATTTTGTTATTTGTGACTCAGTTAGGTGTATTGGAGGTGTTGCACTCTGTCTGGGGCTGCTCTACCTTCTCCTGCTGGTTATTATCATAGCCATGTTGGGCCAATGTGAGTACATGCCTTGACATGACTGCAAGTCCAAACAACATTGTGCTGATGTCATTGCATTGGTAGCTCATCAACAGTTGTTATTAATGACAACATTCTTCTGCGGTTCTTTTAAGAATTCAGAATGTGTTCATTTTGTTGCAGACATCGGACCGAGCCCTCTGAAAAACACTCAACAACCGTCCATTGGTCTCACCACCTGTCCCAATCTGACTTCAGAATGTTTTCAGTTGCAAGGCAAATACAGCACCTTGTTAGAAAGCAATAATCAGTTAGAGACCAAGCTCTGTTCTCTGACTAAAGAGAAGGACACTGTCAAGGGGGAGCGAGACCGCCTTCAAAATGAGCGAGATATCCTTCAGAACCAGCGAGATGTTCTAGAAAATGAGCGGAACTCCCTCCACGGTGAACGCGATGCCCTAAAAATTGAACAAGGAACCTACAAGACTGACCTAGAAACACTCCAAAATGAGCAAGAGATCATTAAAAATGAGCGAGACGCTCTTGAAATTGAGCAACGAGTCCTAAAAAAGGAGGAAGAAAAGCTAAAAAGTGAGCGGGATTTGCTAAAGAATGAGAAAGAGACCGTACAACATGAGCGAGACACGCTTCAAATTGAGCATGGCATTCTCAAAAGTGAGCGTGACACTCTCAAATATGATAAAAGCACTCTCCAAAAGGAACAAGAAGCTCTTAAACGTGAGCGAGATGCCCTCAAAAATGAGAAAGATACCCTCCAAATTGAGCGAGACGGCCTCAGGACAGAGCGGGACAACCTCACGGTTGAACGAGACCAACTGAGTTTAGTGTCCAGCAACCTGACCAAAGAGCTGGAGGAGCTGCAGATCCGGTTCAGCAAAGTGGCTGCAAGTCGAGACGGCTTAAAGGAGGAGGCTCAAGAGTTAAATCGGAACAGATCAGGTGGGTACGACATACTAAAAAAAAACAACAACAACAAAAAGTTGAAACCTCATGATAAACACATCCATCCTTCTTTGGGATTCCTGCTAAGCACATTTAAATGAGCAAGATGAAGAGTACATGAAGAACTATCCTGACACTCTCGCTTCACTGTCCATTAACTTACAAATGAGAGCTGTTTCACAAGAATCTATCCATCTAGTTATCTAGCTAGCTACAGTAAATAATGTTATTGGATTTTTATGTGCGGCCCGGTGGTCGGCTGGTTAGCGCGTCAATCTCACGGTGCACAGCTCCCGGGTTCGATTCCAGCTCCAGCCTTCCTGTGTAGAGTTTGGATGTTCTCCCCGTGCCTGCATGGGTTTTCTCCGGGTACTCCGGTTTCCTCCCACATTACAAAAACATGCATGGCAGGTTAAAAACTCAAAAATTGTCCATCGGTGTGAGTGTGAGCGCGGATGGTTGTTCGTCTCTGTGTGCCCTGCGATTGGCTGGCAACCGGTTCAGGGTATCCCCCGCCTACTGCCTGTAGACCCGTGTGAGGATAAAAAGCAGTTCAGAAAATGGAAGGATGGATGGATTTTTCTGGATGAATATATTAATTGTGTCCAATTTTTGTGCTTCTTTTAGTCAAACTTTGCCCAACAAAATGGGTTAAATTCAAGGAGAAATGCTACTACATCTCTGAGAAAGGTGAAACTAAGTCATGGACCTTGAGTAGAAGAGACTGCCAAGACCGAGGAGGTGACCTGGTCATTGTCACCTCAAAAGCGGAGGAAGATTTTATCTCTGTATATTATGATCGAGTGTGGATCGGTCTCTCTGACTTGGATCATGAGGGCGAGTGGAAGTGGGTGAATGGGAACAAACTGGACTTTGAAGGATTTTGGCAAAAAGGGGAGCCGAATGACAAAAGCAGTGCAGAGAACTGTGTGGAGCATTCCCGTTCAGGGCGTGGATGGAATGATATGCGCTGTCGTGAGAGACTTTCTTGGATTTGTGAGGATTAAAATGTTGTGTGTGTGTGTGTGTGTGTGTGTGTGTGTGTGTGTGTGTGTGTGTGTGTGTGTGTGCGTGCGTTTGCGCATGAGTGTCACAGAAAATCATGAAAACAGAAATCATCCATGATCAAACTATGACCCTCATAATTATGTGTACAAGCAATGTTTTCAGTTACATTTAAACATTATTTCAACATTCAATATTCATTTATTCTCACACTGTCATATGAGTTTCCAACATTAACCACTGTGCTAATAAAGAAAAAGAAAATTGAAATACTGTACAAGCCCTTTTTTGCGCCTTACAGTTTTTAGGAAAGGATGGGTTGTTTTGAAGACTTCCATGACATCTGCATCTTAACATTATTTACTTATTTATGGTCATTCAACTATAAAAAGGAAATGAATGCTCTGACCTTCCTGCTTCCTATGTGGAGTTTGCATGTTCTCCCCGTGCCTGTGTGGGTTTTCTCTGGGTACTCCCACATTCCAAAAACATGCGTGGCAGGCTGATTGAACACTCCAAATTGTCCCTAGGTGTGAGTGTGAGCGCGGATAGTTGTTCGTCTCTGTGTGCCCTGCGATTGGCTGGACACCGGTTCAGGGTGTCCCCCGTCTACTTGCCCGAAGACAGCTGGGATAGGCTCCAGCACGCCCCACAACCTTTGTGAGGATAAAGCGGTTCAGAAAATGGATGGATGGATGGAATCTAATCCGTGTGTGTGTCCAACCTAAGGAGTGAGGGCTGTTGAAGACACACACTGGACTTGTTTGTCTATGTGTGTGTGTGTGTGTGTGAATGAAAATTATGGACGTGTGCAATCATTACAAAAACACCAAGTAAGCTGCTGCTGGTGTTGACGGTTCCAACCACGTACCTGACATACCTGCGAACTGTGAACAAATTTACTCCATCAAACTTGGCTCAAATATGTTGCAACTCTCGCCGATCGGCGTCACCGTTCTAACATTGGTTTGCAAGGTGAAATAAACAGAATCTGCCAAAAAATGAAAGAAGAAGCAGTAAACAAAAAGTAAGAGTAACTGAGTATGAAGATTATATCATGAATTTGTGGAGGGTTTTTATTTTTGTCTTTTTTTCTGTGAACACAAAGAGTAAAAAATCTGCTTCTCACAAGTCTCATTCATTTCCTTTCCTTCGGAAATAAAGGGTTGTCAGTTGATCAAGATTTGGCAAGCAAACATTGGGGCTCTTAAAAACAAAGGCATGATCGCACATGATGGACCGTCGCACCGTCCCTTCATTCACTGGAACTCGCCACCACTCCTCCTAACCCAGGGCTGAAATGCCCTCTTGGAGGTTAAGTCAATATTGGTACTTGTATTCCAAATCCTGGCTAATTATTAACTGTAGCATGGTCTTAGCGTGTTTTAACATCAGTGTGGAAGTTTTTCTTGTTATTTCTCTGTTGTCAGCTTACCAGTAAATTCTACACTCATGGTTATTTGTTGGGCGTTTTTGCTCCTGCATTTAATTAACTAGGAGCCATACCATTGTCCCTTCATTTGCCTTCATTTCTTCTCTCGGTCACTTATAAGTAATCAATGAATGACCCAGTTAGTCCTTCTTTTCCTTCTTGCAAAAGTAAAACAATAAGTGAGTGTTTTAACTGGATGATCAAGTGCAACCTTGTTGCCTTCAGATGTGATTGGAACGACCATGACAACATCCAATACTGAATTGAACACGTTGATTACACCAAAGAAAGACAACGGAAACAAAGGATCATAGAATTCCATTTATAAGAAAGACTCAAAGTCCTTAACAGCAAAAAACAAAAACAAAAAAACAACCAATAACCTCACTGTGAATCATGTTCGAAGGTAAATTGGAAGAAGTCGGACAGTACAAACTTTTACTCGTAGCCCCTGCTACTCTTGCCATACAGTTGTCAAAAGTAACAGTCTATTCAGTTTCAGATTTTTTTTTCTCAGCACACAAAAACAAAATGATCAGAACTGATATTCCAGGATGCACTAAACAAATAAGCCTTTGGTCAATACACAATAAACAAAGGGAAAAGAAAAATACTGTAATGTATTTTGCCTTTTTTTTTCGCTTTTTGCCACAGCCAGTCAGTATTTGGAGTTTAAGGATTCTCTTTGGTGAGAAGATAGAGTGAGACACGTTTAATTCATTTGGGCAGTTATTCTACATGCAGACTCACACCTTTGGATGTAATCCAGTGAAGCTTTGCATTAGTTCTTAGTGGTCTGTGTGTAAGTGTGTGTGTGTGTGTGTGTGTGTGTGTGTGTGTGTGTGTGTGTGTGTGTGTGTGTGTGTGTGTGTGTGTGTGTGT